GCCAAGCAGCATCTATGATGCTGCTTGGCCTGCTGTGTTCATCCAGCCCTGCACCTTGTTGTCAAGTATAAGGCAAATAGGTTTAGTAACATTGAAGAAGTCTTGGAAATATGTGACTTGAATAAATTGACCTCTTATGAGAAAACCTAAAGCAGACACTTGATAGTGGTTTAAGTGAAAGATTTAAGAATGAACTAAATTACAAGTTCCTTTCCAAGTCACTCACTATCCTGACTTGGAAATACATCGCCGTTCCTTCACTGTCACTGGGTCAAAACCCTGGAATTCCCTCCCTAATAGCATTGTGGGTCAACACACAGCAGGTAGAATGAAACGGTTCAAGAAGGCAGCTCACCACCACCTTGTCAAGGGCAAGTAGGGATGGGCAAGAAATGCTGGCCAGCCAGCAATGCCTGCATCCCACGAAATAAATAGAAAAAAAAAATTCCTGATTTCCTTGCATAGAGACCAGAACTAGGGGCCATAACTAGAAGAGTGTCAATAAATCCGATCAAGAATTGAAGATAAATTTCATTACCCAAAGAGTGGAGAAGAATTTGGAAATCATTAGAAGGACTTTTTTTTTATTTATTCATTCATGGGATGTGGCCATTTCTGGCTAGGTCAGTATTTATTGCCTATCCCTAATTTCCCAGAGAGCAGTTAAGAGTCAACAACATTGCTGCGGGTCTGGAGTCACATGCCAGAATGGCAGTTTCCTTCCCTAAAGGACATTTGTGAACCAGATGGGTTTTATTATTGTGTTGGGGGGTGTGGGATAAAGCAGATTTTGAGGGGACAAAATGTAGGTACACACGAAGACTTAAAGGATATACTTTCAGGCAAGGACTCAGATTAGTAGGAAGGGATTTTGTGAACTATTTAACACTGGCCTCAACTTTGAGGGCTGGATGGGGGAGGCAACGGCCTCGTGGTTTTATTGTTGGACTGTTAACCCAAAGACCCAGATAATGTCCTGGTGGACCTGGGTTTGAATCCTGCCACAGGAGATGGTGGAATTTGAATTCAATAAAAATCTGGTCAGAAGTCAGATGACACCAGGTTATAGTCCAACAGGTTTATTTGAAATCACAGGCTTTTGAAGCATCACCCCTTTGTTAGGTGCAGGGACGACACTCCGAAAGTTTGTGATTTTAAACAAACCTGTTGGATTATAACCTGGTATTGTCTGACTTCTGACCTTGTCCACCCCCGTCCAACACTGGCGCCTCCACATCAATAAAGATCTGAAATTAAGAGTCTAATGATGACCATGAATCAATTGTCAGTAAAAACCCATCAGGTTCACTAATGTTCTTTAGGGACTCCAGATCCACAGCAATGTTGTTGACTCTTAATTACCATCTGGGCATTTAGGGATGGGCAATAAATGCTGCCCGGCTAGCAATACCCTCATCCCATGGGTGAATAAAGGAGAAAGAAGGTAGAACAAAACTAAATTTTGGCTTAAGTTGCTCAGTTGTTACACCAATTTGTTGAATCATTAACTCAACATTTACCTGTCATTTTGAAGGAATATCTAAAGAAAAGCAATGATCAAATCAATGAAATTGTGGAGCTAGTGCGTGGAAAGCTATCAAGTGGAGAACGCATGACCCTGGGAGCCCTGACGGTTATTGATGTGCATGGTAATTGCTGTAACTAATTACAGTCATGAGGGAATAATAGTAAGTGTTTGTTTCAACAATGTCGTATTGTCATTGAATAGCAGAATTATACATACGGAAGAGACTCTTCAGCCCACTGAGTCTGCCCCACATAAATACACTAATTCTACACTAGTCCCACTTTCCAGCTATGGGCCCATAGCCTTGAATTTTACGACACTTCAAGTGTTCATACATTTACTTTTTATAAGTTGTGAGGTTACCTGCCTCAACTACCCTCTCAGGCAGTGGAGGAGCACAATGGGGTGTGTGTTTACATCTATGTATGCCTCCCTATGAGGATAGATCCTTGTACCTTGGGAGAGAAAGAGAGGGAGAAAACAAGAGGAAAACTATATTTAAATGGTGCTCTACATATCCCATCGTGTGTTTCGTTTTTGCAGCCCGTGATGTGGTTTCTGAACTAGCAGATGCTAAGGTAGCAAGCCTCAATGATTTTATGTGGATTTCCCAGCTGAGGTACTACTGGGAAGAGAATGATGTTATTGTGCGAATGATCACCACTGTTCTGACCTATGGCTATGAATACCTGGGTAATTCTGCAAGACTCGTCATAACACCTCTCACTGATCGATGCTACAGGTACTAGATAGCCTACATTATTCTTCTGAAACAAATGAACTTTGCATTTTCAAGGAAGGAATTGTTGAATAGGTTTTTTTTTGGCATCATTGGGCAGAGAATAAATAGAAGTTAATTTATTGCATCTTCCCAAAGACTGCCATTGCAGGAAGATTTGCACCATTTATGGGGGATGGGGCTGGTTAGCTCAGTTGGCTGACCTGCAATGCAGAGTGACACCACCGGCACAAGTTCAATTCCTGTACTGGCTGAGATCACCAGGAAGGACCCACCTTCTTGACCTTGCTCCTCACCTGAAGTGTAGTGATCCTCAAGTCAAATCATCACCAGATGTCTCTCTCTCTCTCTCTAATGAGAAAGTGGTCCTCTGGAATTATGGTGGCTTTATTTACACCATATAGTGGTGTGCAGATTGAAAATTTAGATAATCTACCTATCTGTTTGCTTCTGTCCCTCAAACAAAAGGGCACTATGTTTTTCTTTTGTTTAAACTTTAGTTTGAAATTATTGAAATTATTAGTTTAACTAGTAACTAAAATACTTTGTTGTTAATGTTACAATCACCCTGTACCTCCTGTGAAGAAATGAAAGGAACATAGCCAAAGGAGATTAATGAACAGAAAATCCTGGCAAACAAAAGGACCATCTCAGAGAATCTTGTGGACTGGTGCTATTTAGTTATTAGTTTGAAATGATCCCTTTCAGGGATATTGAACTTTTCTAAAGTTCATGTAGTTTCTTAAAGGTGTGGCTGGGATTAAACTAAATGTTTATTTTTTATGTTGATTAAATTATAAGCCAAAGACGTCTGAGGATATTCTTCTTTAACAGAGTTCCTCAAGGCTGATTTTAAATCAACTTTGGCACCATTGTGGAATACAGGTCTCTTCCTGACAAACTAATGACTTTGGGATTTCTCAAATCAGTTCCTAATGAGCACCAAGTGCGTGATTCAAAGTTGTCAGCATTTGATAATATTTCCTTTGTAAGTTTCCTTTTGAGATTAAAGGCAAATTTACAGGGTGATTGATAATGCAGTGTCAATCCTGTTTTTTTCAATGCATGAGTACACATGTTATGTTATCACCAATGTTCCTTTTTATGCTGTGGAGTTTCCTCGAATGGCAACAGTTTCCGTACTTTTTCCATTTGAGGCAACGAAAAGTTCCTGGAAGAGGGTTTTCTATCACTGTGGCCAAGCAAAAAACAGTAATTGTTGGTCATGCACACCATCAGAACAAAGGAGCAACCTGTCATTTGCAGTTTGACAATTGGTAGCATAATCTTCTGCAAGTGACGTTCGTTCTAAGTAACACAGTATAAACAGGACGGATTTATTGTCAATGGAAATTGTTAAATTTGGTAGTATACATTTGTACAGGTGAATGAGCATCTTTTCTTTACAAGTCTTAATAACCATTTCTTTCTGCACTGCTACAGATTGAAGCATGTCAAACGTAAATATCATGCAAACTTACTGTAAATACTCAACATAGATAATTGAGAGAATCCATGAGATCCATGTATTGTTCTCTTAAAGTGCCTGATTATACATATAATATTTTTCTTGTGATGTATCTAGGACATTAATGGGAGCCTTAAAGTTAAATCTTGGTGGCGCACCAGAGGGACCTGCTGGTACTGGTAAAACAGAAACTACAAAGGATTTAGCAAAAGCTGTAGCCAAGCAGGTAACCATGATCACAGATGTTGCATGTGTGTTTGCTGCTCTTTGGTTTTATTTTGAGTAGTTTTTCTAGTAAAATGGAGCAATTTCCTCTCCTCATTTCATTGTTTACACAATACCCACATCCACAATTTTCCATTTCTGTTGATTTCGCTGTCCTTTCATTTTTATGTTTCAGATCATTAATGTTACAGCCACTTGTTGTGACCCACTTAGGAAAGCCCCACTACTCCCAGTTAATGATCCAGTCAAAGCTCATAAAGCCATCAATTTACAGTCAATGTTACAGAAAACACAGACCAAATACCTGTACTTAACAAGAACTATTATTTATTACAAATAAGTAAATTCCAGTCACAAGCAAACATGTAGTTCTACTGGATATACAGACAGACAAACACAGATAATCAAAAAATTGGTTTTATAGGCATAGGGGAACAAAACTGAGAATAGAAACCACAGATAAATGGCACCAGTCCACAAGATTCTCTGAAATACTTCTTTTATTTGCCAGGATTTCTGTTCATCAATCTCCTTTCTCTAGGTTCTTTTCAGTTCTTCACAGGAGGTACAGGGTGATTATAGCATTAACAACACAATGTATTTTAGTTACTAGTTAAAGGCAATAGCTTATAGCCAGTGGTGGGAGAACATTACTGACTTTCTTCAGGTGTCAGGAATTCATTCTGCAGAGAGAGAGAGAGAAAGAGACTACCTGGCCTTCCAACAGTCCAAAGGCTTCTGACTGTATCGTTAACTCCCACAAGCTGTTCAGCTGCCAAGAAACCAGTCAGAGAGCTTTTATCAGGCTGATGATTGTCAGGCTGACTGGTCACAATTGCACAAACCGATCAGCTACATGTTGCCAGCCAAATCTCACCACATGCACACAAACCCTGCAGCTTCCCACGCTGCTTGAACAAAGCAGCAGTGTTAACACCACACACATTGAATTTCAGTCACCTGATTTTAGAAGTGCAGCAATTCCTTCCACAAGCAAAAATACAGAGAATAAAATGATACGATATTTACAAAGTCTATATGCCGCTGCTTTCAGTATTTGACCATTCTGGCTGTGGCTTTGCCACTCACTGTATTGTACTTGTTTGTGTAATTTGGCAGTTGATGGCCTCTGCCTCAACCAGCCTGGTTGCTCTGTTAGTTTTTACACTTTCTACCAACCCTAATCTCATCCCTTAAGTGGGGAATTTCATTGTGACAAAGGATTTGGGCCCCACATCTCAGGAAAGACATACTGGCCCTGGAGCGGGTTCAGAGGACGGTCACGAGAATGGCCGCAGGAATGAGAAGCTCAATATATCAGGAACGTTTGAGGACTCTGGGTCTATACTCGATAGAGTTTAGAAGGATGAGGGGGATCTAATTGAAACTTACAGAATACTGAATGCTGGACAGAGTGGATGTTGGGAAGATGCTTCCATTGGGAGGAGAGACTAGGACCTGAGGGCACAGCCTTAGAGTAAAGGGAAGACCTTTTAGAACGGAGATAAGGAGAAACTTCTTCAGCCAGAGAGTGGTGAATCTATGGAATTCACTGCCACAGAAGGCTGTGGAGGCCAGGTCATTGAGTACATTTAAGACTGAGATAGATAGGTTCTTGATTGTCAAGAGGATCAAGGGTTATGAGGATAAAGCGGGAGAATGGGGTTGAGGAACTTATCAACCATGATTGAATGGCGGAGCAGACTCAATGGGCCGAATGGCCTAATTTCTGCTCCTATGTCTTATGTTCTTATGATTGGCAAACTTCACTTGAAGACTCAGCCACGTTAACACTCCCTGGATACTTATGTAGCTGAATTTTAAAGGAATGGTCACCCAAGTGGTGATTATTACTGAAAAGATTGTTCATATTGAGAATCTGCCAAATGAGTGAAATAACTTTCTTTTAAAGTTGATTTTCAGCAGTTGTACTGTTGTATGAGGATGGTTACTTTTAGTGTGGCAGGCAGAGGTGTATGGGATGTGATAGAAAATGCAACCCAGATGGGTATCACGAGCAAAACAAATTACAAAAGAGGTTTGTTTGGTCTTATAGCATATATTACAGACCAAAAAGGCCAGTATCTTTAAGATAATAACACAGCATCATGATATATGTTGTTCTTGTATAAAGTTACCTATCCTCTTTCATTCACTCTCTCTTCATCATGGAATCGGTGTAATGTATTCAGTCAGTCAGCTATGTGTATGTAATGTTCAGTAACATCAGTAAGCACAGAGCCCAAACTTTGCAGATCTGTGAATATCATAGCCATGTAAACAGTTAGAGTTGGAAATAAACTTCAAGATATCTATCTCAATAAGAACCCAAGATAGTGGTACATGTTGTGCGGATCAACACAGAAAACCATAAGGGCAGGGTTGTTTTTTTTAATGTAACATGTAACTTTAGTGATCTATGTTTTGAATGAAAACATGAGATAATTTTACTCTGGGCATGTAACTAGTTAGATCATCTATGATGATTCATCTCAAAATCAACAGAGAGAAAAGAAAAATCTTTGTCCAACTTTATTTTATTCAGTCATGGGATGCAGGCATTGCAGGTAAGCCAGCATTTATTGCTCATTTGTGGGATGAGTGTTCCAGTCAGCAGTGTCTTGATTTTAAAATTATTATCCCAGTTTTCAAAACCCTTGATGGCCACATTGCTCTTTGTCTCCGCAATCTTGCGAGTGCCACGAGGTTTGAAGATAAATGCACTCCTCCAAATCTGTTTTTTTTTGTGCATTCCCAATTATAATTGTTCCACCATTGGTGGCCATGCCTTCCTCCTGGGCTTCAAATTTCCGAGTCGACAGGGTTGAGGATATTTCTTCTAACAGAAGATTCCAGAACAAGGGGTCACTGTTTTAAAAATAAGATGTCGTCCATTCAGAATAGGGAGGGGGCAAATTTCTTTCTTTCAGAGGGTAACCAGTCTTTGGGACTCTCTTCCTGAAAAGGTGGTGTTAGCAGAAACCGTGAATATTTTAGAGGCAATGGTGGATTAATTCTTATGAGGCAAAGGATGAAAGCTCTTCAAGGCTTGGCAGGAATGTGGAATAATCAAATCAGCCATGAATTTATTAGATGATAGTGCAGTCTAGAGGACTGAATGACCCACTCCTGTTCCTTATTAAGATCTAAGTTCTGAGATTCTTTTGCCTTTCTTCTCTCAATTTCACCTTTAAGGCACATTTTATGTTAAAGAGGTTATATAAACGTATGTGTTGTTGTTCACTATTGAACAGCAGTCTGATGAAGCAGAAAGAACAAATGGAGGAGGTTGAATAGAAGGAAGATGATGCACTCTGGCTTATAACAGCCCAGGTGATGAGGACTAAACGTACCTTTATTTTCCATTTATTTTGCAATAAGACGATTGCTAATTTAGTGCAAGCTACAGGCTAATGAGAATCCCATGTAAACATATTGTACCAAAACAGGGCATCTCAAAGTGTGTCCCACAAGTTGGATTTCTTTCCTCATCCTTCAGCTCAAAATATTTGCAAATGGCTGGAAGTGTGAGGACAATTATAGGATGGTAAAAGTAAGCAAAAGAATTTAAGAATGTAATTTAAAAGAAAACTCAGAATAATTTACAGGATGAGACTCCACATTTCACTTGTACCCTTTCGGATCCTCAGAGGTCAGGTGACATTACAGGAATGTCAATCTTATCACCTCTTCATTAAATACGACACAATTTTCTCTAATAAAGTTTAACAATGCAAATATAACATCGTAGGGAAATAGATGGCAAGTGCTGCTAATGACTGAATGGTGTAAATTGTCTAATAATTTGTGGCAATCTGCAGTTAGTGCAGTATTGCTACTGCACCACTAATTACTGGGTTTTTCAAAGCAGTAACAACTGTGTCTGTGTATTTATCACACTGCTATTCACCCAGCAATTTCTGTGTCATTAATTTACCACTGATGTGCCATTTGTAATGGTCTTATTCACAAAACTGCCCTATGTTGGCTGTTGTTGTTCAGTTTAGAATTTGACTTCAGTCACTTTTCTGTGTCTTTACAGTGCGTGGTTTTCAACTGCTCTGATGGTCTGGACTACAAAGCCATGGGGAAATTTTTCAAGGGTCTTGCTCAGTCTGGGGCTTGGGCTTGCTTTGATGAGTTCAACCGAATAGAGGTAATTAAATAGATGAAGAAAGATAAAATCGTCGAATCATAGAATGTTACACTCCAGAAGGAGGCCATTCAGCCCATCATGTCTGTACCAGCACCTGAAAGAGCTACAAAGCTAGTCCCATTCTCCAGCCCTATCTCCATAGCCCTCTAACTTCATCACTTTCAAATATATATTCAGCTCTCTTTTGAAACCTCCTATGGAATCGTCCTCCACCACTCTCCCAGGCAGAGCATTCCAAATCCTAACAACTCTCTGAGTAAAGGAGTTTCTCCTCATCTCACTCCTAGCTGTCTTGCTGACAGTCTTGGAATTGTGACCCCTAGTTACTGACATACCAACTAATGGAAACAGAATACCCTTCTTTATCCTGTCAAAATTGTTCAGAATTTTGAAAGCCTCAATAATGTCATCTCTTAATCTTCTCTGCTCCAAGGACAATTAGCCTAATTTCTGTAATTTTTCCTTGTATCTAAAATCCCTCATTCCTAGTATCATTCCAGTAACTATCCTTTGAACTCTGTCCAGGGCTTTAACATCCTTTCTTAAATAAACTGCCCAGAACTGAACACAATACTCCAATGTGGTCTGATCAATGATTTGTAGAGGTGTAGCATCACTTCCTTGCTTTTATACTCTATGCCTCCATCTATAAACCCCCAATGATCCTATAATCCTTCTTCACAACCATTTCAACTTGCCTGGTCACCTTCAGAAAATTATGCATGTGAACCCCAAGGTCCTCTGCTCCTGTACTCCCCTTAAAGTTATACCATTCAGCCTGTATTGCCTCTCCATGTTTCTTCTAAAAGGCATTTCCTCACATTTCTTTGCATTGAAATTCATCTGCCAGGTGTCTGCCCATTTGGCCAACTTGTCAATGTCCCTCTGAAGTCACTCAACATCATCCTCACAATTCACTACTCTCCCTAGCTTAGTATCATTTGCAAATTTAGAGATTTTGCCTTCAACACCCATCTCCAAATCATTTATATGAATCAGAAAAAGCAGGTGTCCCAACAATGATCTTGGGGAACGCCATTTTCAACTCATCTCCTCTCTGAGGAAAGCCCAACTATACCCACCCACTGTTTCCACCTTTTATTTCTAATTTATACTGCCAAGGGCCCATCAATCCCAAGCATTTTTAATTTGCTAATCAACCTGTCATGTAACACTGTGTCAAATCCTTTCTGAAAGCCTAAATATACAATATCCACTGTCTGTGTCTCATTGTCAAATAACCCAACTGGATTTGTCAGACATAGCCTGCCCTTGACAAAGCGATGTTGTCTGCTTAGTATTCTTCTCTCAGTGTATTTTTATTTATATCCTGTATTATGGGTTCCATCAGTTTTCCCACTTCTGCTGTCAGGCCTGTAGTTCGTAAGTGGGGATGATATGGCTACAGAGGTTGAATTTGATTACTTTTCTTGCTTATTTAGATACAGATGGTGAAATTATCAATTGGGGTGGGGGAAAGGGAGCTTAAGCAGGGTGTGCAGCACTCTTTGAGAACTGCACTCAAACATCAGAGAGTGGATGGCACAAAGGTATTGTTACTGGACTGGTAATCAGAGACCCAGACTAATTGCATTGCCAATTATGTACAGGGTTATGGGGATGGGGTGGGTAAAAGGCATTGAAGTGTTTGATCACCCATGATTGTATTGAATGGTGGGGTGGGCTCAATGGGCTGAATGACCTACTCCTGTTCTTAATGCTTTGGGAACATGGGTTCAGATAACACCACGATAGCTGGGGAACTTAAATTCAATGAATAAAGTTTGGAAATCTCAGTAATGGTGGCTATGGTTGATTGTTGCCATTATTGATTGTCAGAAAAACCCATCTGGTTCACTGACGTCCTTTAGGGGAGGAAATTGTCATCTTTACCTGGTTTGACCTACATGTGACTCCAGATCCAGGAGTTGGTGCATAGTTCAGGGAGTGACAATCACTCTCCAGAATATTGACCCAGTTAATGGGTGTTGTCCATCATGAACCAGTCCTTGCTGGTTTTCATACATCTTCCAGTGGACATCACAGGAGAGCAATCTGGAGCAGAAGCTCTCGATTGTGTTCTTTCACCCCCTCACTAACTTGGACACGTTGAGGTCATTTTCTGTGCTCCCACTACAATGAGATCATTGAACTTCCCTCTAACAGGATTTTGATGGTTTTTAGCAGGGACAATATAATGCACTTGATGTCTGTACCTGTGTTCACCTTTTCCAGTGTGAAGACCAAAGAGAAGTATTCATTCAACGTTCTTCCAATATCCTGCAGCTTCGCATACAGGTTGCCCCCTTGGACCCTAATGGGCCAAGCTAAATCCCTGGTTAACCTCTACACTTTAATATGTTGATAAAATATCTTAGGATTGTCCCTAATCCTGTTTGCAAGTCCCTTTTTATGCCCCTTTTTGCTCTTTGAAATGCTTTCTTAAGTTTCCTCCTGCACTTCCTCTATTCTTCCAGGACCACAGCTGAATTGCTCCCTTTGGACTTGCGAAAAGCCCTACTCCTCTTCCTCATCCAGTCCTGAATTGTCCTAGACATCTAGAGTTCTCTGAACTTACTGCTCCTACATTTCCCTTTAAAGGTTATTTGTTGGGGCTGTACTCTCCCCATCTTCTTTTTGAATACCTCCCCATTGCTCCACTGTAGACTTACCCACAAGGAGTGGTTCCCAGTCTACTGTGGCCAGATCCTGATTTACTTTAATAAAATCTTTCTTCCCCCAATCCAAAGCCATTTTTTTCAGGCCATCTTTTCCCTTGTCTAGAACAAATGTGAACGATACCAAGTTGCGGTCACTATCGCCTAAATGTTTTCCCCACTGCCACATCGAACGCATGTCCAGCTTCTTTCCCGAGAACCAGATCCAGCACTGCACCATCCCTTGTTGGGCCTTCTACATATTGATACAAGAAAAAAGCTCCCCTAGATGTATTTCAAGAAATTTGTCCCCTCTAAACCTTTAACACCGTGACCAGCCTAATTTATATTGGGAAAGTTGAAATCCAGTGGTGTAATTACCTCATTATTGCTCTTACACGTCTCTGTGAACTGTCTACATATTTGCTCCTCTGTTTCCCGCTGACTCTTTGGGGGCCTATAATACACTCCCAGTAACGTAGCTGCCCCCGTAACATTCCTAAGTTCTGCCCACAAAGCCTTGTTTGAGGACCTTTCCAAGATATCATCTCTCCTTATTGCAGTAATTGACTCCTTAATTAATGGTGTTACACCACCACCTTTTCTACACCTTCCTCTGTCTCACCTAAAGATCCTATACACCAAAACATTAAGTTGCCAGTCCAGCCCTTCCTCAATCATGTTTCTGTGATGGCAACAATATCATAGTCCCATGTGTTAATCCAGGCTTTTAACTCATTAGTCTTACCTATTACACTCCTAGCATTAAAAGTAAAGACCATCCAGCCTTGCCCTAGTCTCTTGACACTCAACATAGCTGAATTCGCTCTGACTTGCTTCCTTTGTTGCTTTCATCCCTAGGTGGAAGTGCTTTCTGTAGTTGCACAACAGATTCTCAGTATCCAACAAGCAATTATACGTCATCTCAAAACATTTCACTTTGAGGGAACAGAGCTTTCTCTCAATCCAACCTGCTCAGTCTTCATTACCATGAACCCTGGGTATGCAGGACGAGCTGAACTTCCTGACAACCTTAAGGTAAAACTCAAACAGTCCTTTCTGATTTTATGGTGCATTACAATTTGGAAATAATTCTAGTCACTAACTTATGGTAGTAATGGTATAAATGGTAGTACTTAGCAGACATAAAAACAAACTGAATAGGCACATTTAAAAGGCACTTTTTTATATTCACCTGTGTGATGTAATTGGTTGACCAGCATTTATTGCCCATCCCTAGTTGCCCTTGAGAAGGCAATGGGGAGCTTCCTTCTTGAACCACTGCAGTTGATGTGCTGTAGTTAGATCCACACTGCCGCTTATAAATGTTACGCCATGGAAGTTTATTTTCTAACTATATTTTTCACAAAAATGTGCTCCTAATTGTTTGAGTACTGGAAATAAATATTTTGAGTTCTGCTTTTTTTGTAGTGATTGTAATGAGGTCAGCCAAGTGGACCTTATAGAATATGAGTTCCCTAACTGGGGCTGCTAATCTGATCCAATCAGGGAGCCCTGGCTGACAGATATAAACAGGAGTGTCAGAGATTCTGTTCACTCTGAGAGCTGGCTCTGAGGAAGCCAGACCAGTGTCAACTACTATGCACGTGTGAATAAAGGGTGACTTGGTGATGGGATACGGGTTTCTGTAGAGTTATTTCACTTTTATTGAAATAAGCGCTGCATATTTGAAAATTATTTTCCTTCTTCCTTCTCCTTTCTTCCAAAAGAAAGATTATTCTCCATAATGTTATACAAATTAGTGCCAGACCGTTAGGAGAGGCGCCGGGAAGTACTTCTATGCATAGAGAGTGGCAGAGGTTTGAGACTCTTTACCACAAGCTGTAGTTGGTGCTAGATGAATTGTAAATCTGAGATGGACAAACTTTTTTTTAGTGAAGTTGCTAAGGGATATGGGCCAAAGCCAGGCATATGGAGTTAGGTCATAGATCAGCCATGATCTCATTGAATGGCAAAACAGACTCAAGGGGCTGAATGGCCTACTCCTGTGCCAACGTTCCTAAAGGTGAGGATCAATGCTAGGAACCTTCATAGAGATCTTTCCAGCTGATTTTGGAATTGGAATTTCCAATTCCAAAATCCAGCAGTGTGACATGAAGTGACGTGGAATGGAGAGAAATGCATTTTCAGTTAATGGTAGGATTTATACTCTTACTTCACTGTCATTGATAGGAGGTCTTGTGGTGCAGTGGGTAGCATCCCTTTCTCTGAGTGAGGCCCTCTCCAGGACTTACTGGCCAAAGAGAATATGAAAGAGCAGGTACAATGCTAAAGGGGATGCAGGAGCAGTGGAAAATGGGTGTACATGTGCTCAGACAAATAAAAGTAGCTGGACAATTGGAAAGAATAGTAAAAAAAATTGTGAAGAAAAACAAAGTTGCTGGAAAAGCTCAGCAGGTCTGGCAGCATCTGTGAAGG